AAACAAGCTTGGCATATGGTATTTTATAGTCCTCACAATCTATGTGATATAATTTAGAACTGAATTATATACAGGTATATATTATATATTGATCTATCTCTTTGCTTTTGTCAACACTGGCAAATAGAGTGTGTATTCAAGGCCTTCTGTAATCAAGCTTTGCCCTTATTTCTAGCCCTATATTTCATTGGTCTTTCATACTTCCATACAATTTCAACAAATTGGAATTGTTTTCCTTTCTTGGAATATTCTCTACCCCTTTTTTCCACTTCCAAATCACGTTTTTGCCTTTGCTTGTAAAGACTCTCCCACCTCCACACATTATATATGTCATTACTACCGGAGTCATTCAACTATCTTTCTTTGAAATCTTTCCTATCACCCTAATAAGAAATAATATTGTCCTTTCTGAGTGCCTGTGATACTTGGCTCCCTCCCTTAGTACCAGCTTTGTGGTGTATTTACTCATTTATTTATTTGCTGTGTTTTCCCCTGATCCATTATTAAACTCCTTGAGACAACTACTTTAGAACTGAAACTTACGGGACTCACTCAATTCATTTGTGTTGAAAGAACGAATGAATGAGTGATGGAGAAAGTTCTTATATCACCTGCTCTTCAAAAGCAAGTTTTAAACTTCCCACTGATATGAAATTCAGAAATTCTTAGTAGATATTTTGGTGTTCCTAGATGTTACACAACAAATTAATGTAAAGCCATTATGTAACAGAATATAGGCCCCACTCAGCTAAAACTAGTTAAACATATCTTGGGTCCGCAGAACAATTGATGGTGTTGGAAACATTAACTAGATAAATACAAAGCAATACAATCTAGTTTTATTTTCCCAGAAGGTTCTTTTGAGATCATCAGTTGCTCATAATGTATAGGAAAATACTATTTTCATAAATCTTTAAGTGAAAATATTTTTTTTCTTTTCTACACTTCTATATGTATTCCGCATGACTGAAACAAGCTTGGCATATGGTATTTTATAGTCCTCACAATCTATGTGATATAATTTAGAACTGAATTATATACAGGTATATATTATATATTGATCTTTTCTCCCCAACAAATGTTAAATGAATGAAAAAAACCCACACATTTCCTTAATCCCTGGCATTTGTGAAGCATTTAAACATTATCTTGTAGCGGCAATGATAGCATTGGTGTTAGAGGTGGTGCAGTGGTGATGGTACCCGGTGGTGGTAGAAGTGGCAGCGGTAATAATAGCAGAGACAGTAAGAGCAGTGCAGTGTAAAGGATCTCATGGGAGCCAGACTCATTAGATACGTCATCTCATTTAAATATTAAAACAACCCTACAAAATAACTCTAATCTCTCCACTTTACAAATAAGAAAGTTGGAGTTTTTTTCCCATTTCACCATGTTACCTCCTTATAGGCCATCCAATGAATGAACCCTTTTTTGGAATCCTTTTGCCTCTGACCTAGACTGGTTGAATAATTGATTGATATGAACAGTTGAGTGCACCGGAGAATTCCTAGTAAGAAAGAAAGACTATGGGGGCGCCTGGGTGGCTCAGTCGTTAAGCGTCTGCCTTCGGCTCAGGTCATGATCCCAGGTTTCTGGGATCGAGTCCCACATCGGGCTCCCTGCTCCTCTGGAAGCCTGCTTCTCCCTCTCCCACTCCCCCTGCTTGTGTTCCTGCTCTCGCTATCTCTCTCTGTCAAATAAATAAAATCTTTAAAAAAAAAAAGAAAGAAAGAAAGAAAGACTATGGGGTTTTTGTTATTTTCGCAGACTAGGTGCCCCACCCCCAAACGACATATAAAAAACAAATGTGCATTAAAATATACTCTGGCCATTTATAACAAGATCCTTTCCAGTTAAAGTTATCTAATATGGTTAAGTGTACCAGTGGATGCCTCTTTCTCCACCAGCAATGAGGGAAGGATTTATTCTGGGTACTGAGTTGTCTATTGCCAACCTTGGATGCCTGGAGAGGCAAATGCTAAGTACGACAAATGAGTCACATGATTTAGACATTAATCTAGAAAATACTTGAGCCATTCAAGGTCAATTGAACTTTTTACGTATAGAATTCATAATCCACCAAATGAAAAAACCAAGAAGGCCCCAGCAACTTGGACATTTTCTCTAACTCTTGCCTTAGTTTTTCAAAAGCAAACACTGGAGTTTGGCTGCTGGTAAAGGAATCAATGTGTCAATAACATAGTAACAAAATTTTTGATCAGTTACTGACAATCCTGCTAGAAAAAAATTGCTATAGTAACAGAGATAATTATCAGCATCTTTGGGGGTCAACCTGTTTGGTGAAATAGTGTTGTTTAGAAATGCAGATAAAAATAGGTAAGAGAGTAAGGAGGTAAATAAATACCTTTTTTAAAATAAATAAGTTATGTCCAGGTGCTAACCAGAGGTAAAACTGAAAAGTACGTTTTATCCTATGCTGCCAACAAAGTCATTTAAAAATTACTTATTTCAAGATAGATAATTTTCTATTACCCATGTGAACAGAAAGAATCATGTGGAAGAAATCATCCAAAACAGCAGAAGATCTAGAAGTTGCTCCTATTTATTTCAGAAATACATTATTTGATTTGCTTTTTGCATGTTTCAATTCACTTTCCTAAGTCTGACTTAGGCTAATATTATAATTAGTTTGACTTTCCTGAGCCCTCATCAAGTGCTAGGAGGAAGTTAATCTAGAAATGTGCTAGTGGACGATAATGTGAAAAAAAAAACCGATTAAAAATTATCTGTCTTGAATGAGGAAAAATGATAGACCAAGTATCTCCTCTCCTACCCCAAAACTCTCAAAATGGAAACAAATGTCTATAAATTAAAAGAAAACTAAGTCTGTATGAGTGAAAGTGCTAAAACAAACTTCCCTAATATCAAGGAAGCTCTCAGGTCTGACTCAAAATGTTATGGAATGAGTCACATAAGATCCTGGTTCTTAGCATGTACTTGTATGGTTAAACACAAATTCACTTATTCCTTATTCCAAGGACTGATCCAGAATGCATAACATACTACAAGAGGTAATTTGGGGCACCTGGGTGGCCTAGTCAGTTAAGTGCTGGACTCTTGGTTTTGGCTCAAGTCCTGATCTCAGAGTGGTGGGATCCAGCTCCCCCACCCCCCCACCCAGCAGGCTTGTGCTCAGCATGGAGTCTGCTTAAGACTCTCTCTCCCTCAGGATGCCTGGGTGGCTCAGTCAGTTAGGCATCTGCTTTCGGTTCAGGTCATGATCCCAGAGTCCTGGCATTGAGTCCTGCATTGGGCTCCTTGCTCAGCAGGGCCTGCTTCTCCCTCTGCCTGCTGCTCCCATTTGGGCTCTCTCTCTCTCTCTTTCTGTCTCTCTGAAAAATAAATAAAAATCTTAAAAAAAAAAGACTCTTTCTCCCTCTCCCTTTGCCCTGCCCCCTTCTCTCTCTCTAAAATAAATAAATCTAAAAAAAAAAAAGGTAATCGTATCTATTTTGTGACCCAGAGTCCTGAGAGCAGAAGGAAACTTCCTTCCAGTAACCGAAACAGTTCACAAATTTGCAAAAATAAAACCATTTTTATTTTTATTTTTTTTTAAAGATTTTTTTTTATTTATTTATTCATGAGAGACAGAGGAGGAGAGAGAGAGAAGCAGAGGGAGAAGCAGGCTCCCAAGGAGCAGGGAGCCTGATGGGGGACTCGATCCCAGGACCCTGGGAGCATGACCTGAGCTGAAGGCAGACGCTTAACCATCTGAGCCACCCAGGCGCCCAAAACCATTTTTAAAAGATGGGTCATTGGGATGCCTGGGTGGCTCAGATGGTTAAGCATCTGCCTTCGGCTCAGGTCATGATCCCAGGGTCCTGGGATCGATTCCCATGTCAGGCTCCCAGCTCAGCAGGGGGTCTGCTTCTCCCTCTCCCTCTGCCTCTCCCCCTGCTTGTGCTCTCTCTCTCTCTCAAATAAATATATAAAATCTCTAAAAAAATAAAAGATGGGTCACTTCACAATTTTTCTTTTTCCTACCTAAGATTTCCTAACTAAACTGGTGGAGTGAAGATCTCTTGAGATTGACTGTGTGTCAGTATATTTATAAACAGCCAAGTGGCCAGTGTTGGCAGCCAAAAGCCAGTCATCCTAAATCAAGGTTTACAGGTGCAAATTTTTTCACTCCCCTCTATATTCCTTTTGACTTAAGGGATATTTGATCTGAGTAGCCAGCTGGCAATATACACAATGACACTTAGAACACATGTGTAAAAACTTGAAACAAGTAGGGGCATTTGGATGGCTCAGTTGGTTTAAGCATCTGACTCTTGATTTCGGTCAGTCATAATCTCAGGATCCTGAGATTGAGCCCCAAATCAGGCTCCGTCCTGGGCACAGAGTCTGCTTAAGATTCTCTCTCCCTCTCTCCTTCTCCCTCTGCTCTCCCTCCCTCACTCTCTCTTTCTCTCTCTTAAAAAAGAAAAAAAAACTTGAAACAAGTACCATGAAAGGCAGAGTCAGAAGAATTACTATCTTTTTATCGAATGTATCTGTCATTTGCAAAACAATTATATTAAGTATACCCCCTTAGTCAACTAAATTGTTCCAATAGTGTGGTGTTTAAAAAAGACATATACATGTGTGTTAATATACTGCATATGATGGCTCAATTATTTAAACAAAAATATATGATCAGATGGAATCCTTACCTTTTCAAGTATAGCATTGCCTTGGTGAGGATTGATGTTATGCTGGCTTATTTCTCTCTTGTATTTATATTCATAAACTTGATCAGTGATATTAATCAGCAGAGTTGATGGACTGAAGGCCAGTTTTCCACAATCATACACAGTTCCACTTTCAATATCTGTTGGTGCTGTAGCATATCGTAAGATTAATCCCATTATGAGGCCTAGAATAAAGAATGAACAATTGCATTGGAGGAACTGAATCTAAAATGTTCACTATTGGATGCTTTTAAATATATGATTTTGGACTTGTAGAAGTGGCAGGAGAAAAGGTTATAACATTACCTGACTTAGAATATTGTTCACTCTTCTATAGATACCAGTTCAAAAGATTGCATTAAGATATTTGTGGTGTGGACACTATTGCTTGAATATCCAGCATATATTCCCCTGTTTTTCCTTCCTAATGGAGCCACAAATTTTGGAGAGAAAAGCTACCTACTTCTTCTATCCAACCAAATGCTTCAAGAAAACCTTTGCTCTTTAACAGATACCGAGTAATCTAATCAGTCAGTGGATTAAATTTCCCAGGAAGTTTTTGGTCCACAAGTCAGCACATATCTAAAACAGTGCCATCAAACTAAAAGGAAGCACTTATAGTCCATGGTTGGGAGAGAGATGTTCTTTGTTTTCTCCTTTGGGATATGACAAAGGTAATTTGTTTCCCCATTTTTTTTGCTGGCAGATATCTTGTGACCTTGAGCGGACCCAGTCCAAGGTAATGGTCAATATACTGAGAATCTTAGGACCAAGATACAGACAGAACCTAGGTCCTGATGACTTCACTGAACCACTGGATCAACCGATTCAGGAGATACCCTACTTCTAGACTTCTCGTTATGTGATACAATACATTCTTTAATATTTCAAACGACTTTGAATCCAGTTTCTGCTTACCTGTAGCAAATGCATCCTAAAGATACAACATTCCTTTCAGTGAAGAGTTGAACCCAAGTCACAATCCTTGACTTTTAAGTTTACACACTTACACGTTAGGATGCTGATGGTAATCTGGTAACTGTAAACTCTCCTAATATTATGGATTTATTAATAAATAGCAAAGAAACTTTAGAGGGCTGAAGTATGTGTTTTAAGATAAATCCACAACCCACTCTTTAAAACATCAAATGTTGGAAGGTTTTACCACTCTTGTGAATCCAGTCACCTAATAGCCTTTCATTTACTTAATAATTTGTTGGGTGCTTATTTTGTACAAGACATTTCTAGACTTAAAAATGCAACCCCAGTCCTATAAGAGCTCAAGTTTGTAAAATGCAAACCCTTAAGCAAACAATTATAATACAATGTGACATGTGCTATGACAGCTGGTAAGCCCTCTGTGTTATATGAGTATAGAGAGAAAACACTCCAAAGCCCTTTGAATGATGCAAAGCTTTAGAGGAATCTTAAAAGGTCATATAAGATTTGTCCAGATAAGCTGAATCAGGGAATAAGTTGGGATCCAGGTTGCACATGTGGGTGGCAGTACGTAACAGCAGAGACAGCTAAAAGATCCCCAGGATTTATGTTCACCAATGTGTAGCATAGTTGTCAGGAAAGTGGATGCTCAGTCAGAGATTGTTTCCTGATTTGTGTCTGGTTAAGTTCTCCCCAATGGAATATAAGCAAAAGTGATATGTGCCCCTTCTGGAACACAGCTTTGAATAAGTAGGTGAGTTTTCCCCTTCTCCTTCCCCATCTATCTGATAGATGGGGAGGAAACAAAGGCCCTATAAGTAAACAGAGTCACTAGACTGAAGGAGCCCTGGTCCCTGAGATACCAGGTGGGGGGAAAGCCTCTGCCAACCAGGAATACCTACATTGGACTATTATGTGAGTGAAAAGTTAACTTCTGTTGTGTTGTCACTGAAATTGTAGTGTTAATGTGTTAACCATCACCAGGATAACCTACTGGAGATTATGTATAAATACAGAAGGACTTAAGAAACCTGGTGGATTTAGAGAGTCTGTAGTGGTGTGAGAAGAGAATAAATGTGGGAGAGAAAGATGATAGAGATAAAAAGAGAGAAAGAGAAAAAGAGAGGGGTTGAGAACTCTAGACTATAGGCCAGAGGCAGAGACCAAGTCATAAGGTAAGTTCCTTGGTCATGCTAAAAAGTTTTTATTTTTAACTCAGTGGTAATGCAGAACTATTGAAATATTTCAGGTAGGAATATAAAACAAAATGTTTATGTAAGTGCTATCACTTTGGCAATAATGTAGAGAACTAAAGAGAATGATGGGTGAGAATAAAAACAGATTTTCTTTCAAGAATATTTTTACCTCATTCCAGCTTCAGTATTTGGCCCACTCCTCCATCATAGTGAGAAATACTGTCTCCTAACCTTTGTTAGCAAGAGAAAATAAGTGATGGATACATAACTACCATGAGCGCTTGATCCACATAGAACAGTGGGCAAACTTTCATGTGCCATATCAAATGATTACAATAAAACTAGTCAGGAAAGAGAAGGGAAAACACGTTATCTACACTGCAAGTGGTTTAGGGTGCCTGTGAAGAACATGACTTTGACAACACTCTTTGTCTAGGAAGGATTCATTTTCTAAGTTATTTGGCAGGTACTGTGATTAGAATCATAGAGTGATTCTATGACCTGTGTTTTCTATTCAAGTGGGATATAAATAAAGGAATCCCAAGACACTATCTGCATGGGGCCTGAATAGAGAGAACCTGTATTAATACTGTTCAAAGTTCTCAGAAGGTGAGCCGCTTATTTTTGCAATATGCTTTCAGTGCAACAAGTAAATATGAAGTGTCCACTGTTTTTTCCCAAGCAGAGAACTCAATTATTTGTCATAATGAGGGCCTTATCCCTGGGCCCCTGTGGTTAAATTCATACAAGGCCTCAAGACCTAAATGGCCCTGCCTGGACCTTTGTATCAGCTCTGGTGCCAGCTTTCAGCAAGAGGTGCGCTGGAGTAAATGGAGTAAGTTGCTTGCCACCAGCGCGGACCAGATGTGATGGTCATGACGAAGCATCCCTCAGACGGATCTCCCCCTGTGAGGACTGCAGCTGATCGACGGTCTCAGCCACTGTGCCCCGGAGTCCATGACCATATTCACTGAGGCCAGCCAATGACTGAGTTCAGTAGCGGTACCGAGGCAGGAGGTGGGGCCGCTCTGAAGGGTCACCGTGGCTTAAGGATGTCCTTTCAGCCTTGCTAAACCTTTCTTAGAATTGTGCCATGACCTAAACCTTTTCCTACCCAGCCTTCCCCTCACTCCTCCCTCCACAGGGGCTACAGCTGCACCGAGATCTGACAGCTGTCCCAGCATCCAACCTCTCTCTCCCCATTTTCCCTCAAAAAAGTTTCCCCAAGAAATCTTTCACATGACTAATCTCTTCCCAGTGTCCGCTTCCCAGAGGACCCAAATTAACACACTTGACAAAAGGCTCTAGTCCTGCTTCTCCTCACCCCAAGTCTCTAGAGGAAGCAACATCTTGACACAATGTGAAGGCCAGTGGGGAAACAGCAGCTGCACAGCACACTCAGTTGACAAACACATATGCCCGTTTGTGCGCCCCCACTGCAGTAGCAGCGGCTGGAAAGATCCTCAATGTCTGAGGCCAGACACCCACCCACAGAATCTGACAATGCTTCTGACAGCCAAATGTCCACTCAGCACTTTAGCCATATGTTGAAACGAATATGGAGTTTTGAATTAATGCCACTCCAGCATAATATTGTTTGAAAGCAGGTGACAGATAAAGTAGGACTGCTAGTAGGAAAAAAAATGCTATTTTAAAGGGTTGTTTGTACTCCCCCACAAAGGTATAGGATAAAGAAAGCACCAACCACCAGTGCACAGAAGGAAAGAAGAGACTGGCTGCCACAGTTTATGGACAGGAACCACCATTCTCATTGTTAAGCCACAAGCCCAGGCCTTACCTTCCCAGGAGAAAAAGAGGCAGCTTGTCCAGGCAAAGCAATACCATGCAAAGGCCTTGTTCTAGGTTATATTCTCACAAGCATGACACTTCCCAGAGCTCTGCCCCTCCAAGCAAATACTCTAGTCCAGATGCATCCCTGCCCCTACATGTCTGGGCATTTGGGCAACTAGGAGGGCTGTAGTATAGACATGCTGTTTAGTGAACCTTGACCTCTCCCTAACAGCATACAAGCCCCACGATAGAGCTTGGACAATATACCTCATTCCTAAACTACTCATAGTCCTACAAATTCCATTTCAAGTTCCACCTGTGGGGGCCCCTGCTCTGAGGCAGCCTGTGCTCAATGAATTCCTTCATCTTTGAGTTCTTACAGCACTCACAGTTGAAACCACACCCTTTATGGCCCAATTTTATAAAGGCTTACATTGTTCAACATTGCTTTGCAGACCTTGGCTTTGTCTCCCTCATTAGACAATGAGACTGTTTAAGACAGAGACTCTGTGCTAGTCTTCATCTCTCTTTCCTTCAGAAAAGCTACACTTTAGGCAGAATTGTAACCCAACTTTCTCTAAGTCCACAAACTCCCTTGGAGTCAAGAAGAAAAGATCCTCTAACTTCATGCAGTTGGTCAGTGACCAACATTTTATTTATTTATTTATTTATTTATTTATTTATATTAAAGATTTTATTTACTTGACAGCGAGAGAGGGAGCACAAGCAGGGGGAGTGGGAGAGGGAGAAGCAGGCTTCCCACGGAACAGGGAGCCCGATGCGGGGCTCGATCCCAGGACCCCGGGATCATGACCCGAGCCAAAGGCAGACGCCCAACGACTGAGCCACCCAGGCGCCCCAATGACCAACATTTTAAAATGTCACATGTAAGGAACATCACACTGAATGCTGTGATGTTCCTGTCCTTGCAGAGCTTGTGGTATAACGTCCATAGCAGATGTCTGACGGGCAACTGACACAATGATGTTTGTAGGAGAAGAAAGGAGGGAAGAAGGAAGAAAGAAAAAGCCTCATGGGCACTCAAAATGAGAAACATTTAGAAATATGAGCCTTGTCTTTCTGGACTAGCTTTCACTTCATTCTCCCCGTTGAAAATATTAAAAACTCCCCTCCCTCCCTCTCTCATTCTGCTTTCACGTCACAGACACACAAGGCATTGCTCTAAGACTTGGGAGAATTATAAAAATGAATAAAATATGGCCCTAACCCTAAAAGATTAAAATATTTTAATCCTACCA